CGGGCGGACTTATCTGCGGGCGGACTTATCTGCGGGATTTCAGGGTACTCGCTTTCTGTTGTTTCCGTCGTTTATGACGACTGTGGGAACTGTGGGAGTTATCGTTTATTTCACGCACACAAATCAGCCAAAGGCAACCTTGCTTACTTTTAAATAGAGATTAATTTTTCCAAGACGAATTCTCTCCCCTTCTACATATCGGTTCTCTGCCCCAATGTCGAAAGTGAGAAGTTAGCAAGCAACTCAAATGATGTGTCTGATGGTGACAGTTTGCGACGTCCAAGCTGGGACGTTCCTGTTTGATTGAGCTCCCACAGCAAAATGGACAAAAATTGCGTCGTTAAAACAACCGACCCAACGGATTCACTACTGTCTCAACATTTTTCATGATCGCCTCTGAGGTAGAGGTTTGTTGAAATTCAATAGATTGAAGATAGCCTGAATACTACTCCTAAAGTTTACGTGTGTAAAGACGGCCCGTTTTGGCTTGGAATCGAGATCTCCTAATCGGAACATTCAACAAAGGAGGCATGCAAGCTTCTGGTGACTTACCTAGCATTATGACGAGGATGAACATCACCGAAACTCGTCGCTCGTGGTGCGGCATTTCTGGAAGTTCTTCTGCCTGCGCACGGGTGTCTTCTGATGTCGGACCTCCAAGATCGGAATTTTGCGTGTGAATCTCGGATATGTCTGGAAACTTGTATAAGCCGAGTACTTTGTTGATATGTGAATAAAGTAACACCTTCGAAGGTTCCGGCATCAGATTGATTATCGTGAGTTTTTCGCGGCCTTCTTACGCTGCTGTACATTTGCCGCTGCTTTTGTAAAAGTTCGATGGTAGGCATCTACAAGTTAGAATTCAAAGATTCTATTGAATCAAGACGTAGCAGCTCTTATTCACTTAGCAGAAATCTTCGATGAGAGACTAAGGTATTAAAATATACCGATGTCTTACAGCAATACTGCGAATAACGACACTTCTACGAGTGGTCAAACTTGAGAAAGTTCTTTGGAAAAGAAATAAGGAAAAGGAATCGATTTTTGCGAAA